AGTAGAAAGCCTCATCTTTCTCCCGCGGAGCGGCTGGTAGTTTCGAACCGCTGACCTTAAGGTTCGCAGCCCGATTCGTAACCACTGCGCTACTAGATGCTGTCAAATCCATTAGGACTCATAGCAATCCTGCTCACAACAGAACGAAACACCGCCCGGTCCTGCACCATCCTCCTCACAATTGTTACACTTGAGGCCCCCCCCGCCCCCCCCCATTGCTGCTGTCACCATGCCAATCCATTTCATTGGGGTGGTCTTCTTTTTCGCTGACCCTCCACTTTCCAAGCATGATGGGACTGGTCCCTCCTGATAATATATCCAAAGTGCAAGAGATGGAAATGGCTCCAACTTTGCTTTTAAGGAGCATTCTGACTGTACTTCTTTCAAGACAAATTGGTTTGTTCTTCTGGAAGGCCATGGTTCTTTCAGTATTCTTCTCCAACGCCGTAACTCAATACAGCCATTCTTCTATGGTCTTTCTTACTCAGTGTCCAACTTTCACATTCACATGTTAAGTGCCATCGAGTCGACTCATAGGATTTCCGAGAAGTAGCTGGTGAGTTTGAACCGCCGACCTTGTAGCTTGGTGCTTGTCCTACAGTGCCACACCGGGACTCCACATATGCTTATGAGGCAGTTGAAAATATCAGGGCTTGGGTCAGGTGCACCTTAGTCCTCCAACTGGTATCTTTGCTCTTCAACACTTTAAAGAGGTCTTGTGCAGCAGATTTGCCTAATGCAATGCATTGTTTGATTTCTTGACTGCTGCTTCCATGAGTGTTGACAGTTGATCTAAGCAAAATGAAGTCTTTGACAACTTCGATCTTTTCTCCACTTATCATACTGCTGTTTATTGGTCCAGTCTTGACGATGTTTGTTTTCTTTTTGAGCTGCTTTGAGGTGCTATCCATACCAAAGGCTGTAGTCATTGATCTCCATGAGTATTTCAAGTCCTCTTCATTTTCAGTAAACAAAGTTGTGTCTTGTGCATGTTGCAGGTTAGTCTTCCTCCAATCCTGATGCCACATTCTTTTTATAATCCAGCTTCTCAGATTATTTACTCAGCATACAGAAATAATGTTGTTGTCAAGTGCCGTCGAGTCGATTCCAACCCATAGCGACCCTCTATAGGGTTTCCAAGGAGCAACTGGTGAGCTTGAACCGCCAACCTTGCAGTTCAAATGGCTTTGCAGTCTGGTGCATTAACCCACAGTAACACACCAGGACTCTGGTGAAAGGATACGCACACCTAGGAACAGGTATCACTGCACCATTTTCTCACCAAAGCACGAGGCTACATTGAAAGGTGTGTTGGAGTTTTAGTAACAGTTTGGGTGTTGGTCTCAGGGAGCAGACGAGGGGCTGGAGCATGGACATTTGGTCTGATAAAAGGTGTAAGCAATTAAAAGCGCAGACGTGATTTAGATAAAAGCTGATTTCCAAGAGGAGCTCAGAGATGGAGGCAACAGCCTGGGCTCTTAGCTGCACCTATAAACCCTTCCGCTGTGTCCCTAAGGAGTCTTCATGGTGCTGTAGAATGCACACTGGACTGTTAACCACAAGGTTGGCAGTTCAAGTCCACCAGATGCTCCTTGGAAGAAAGATGAGGCTGTTTGGTCTCCTAAAGAGCTAGTCTTGCATGATGAGATGGAGCAGCTGGGGACTTTAGACTCAGAGAGGAAGAGGGGCTGTGTGTTGATGACCGGGGGGCAGGCTTGCGGGGTATACCCTTTGGTTGGTTGATGATGCATGGCAGGGATTGTAACCATGGCAATGAAATGATATACGATAGGATGAATGTAAAGCTAATGTTCTCCCATGTAAACTATCACATAATTCACAATGAAACATTAAAAAAAAAAAAGAGCTACTAGTCTTGGAACCCACGTATGTTCCTGATGAGTTGGGACCGGCTGGGCGACAGTGGGTATAATAGGAGCTGCCACCACTCATTCATCAGTGTCGTCCTGTGGTGGCTTGTGTGTTACTGTGATACTTGAAGCTATGCCATCAGTATTTCAAACACTAGAAGGATCACTGTCTTAGGCCGGGTTTTCTAGAGAAGCAAACCCAACGAAATATATATGTATATATATGAGGCATTCTGCTCCCATATTTACAGGCTTGGAAACCCTGTACAGGGTCACTATGAGTCCACGGCATACCACCACCACACACACACACACACACACACATATAGCCAGACAGAGAAATTATCTTACAATTGTGGAGTCCCAGGTCCCCAGCAGAAGAGAGGGAGGGAACACCTCCTGTGAGTCTATTATATTGGGAGCAGGCTACACCCCCATGGAAGCACCCTTTGGCGGCTCATCATAGCGCTAACTATGCCTATTTTGGGGTTCCTCACCACTGAAATAAACACACCCCAACTCCTAAACCTCTGGAAATCTTGGCTTAGTGATGCTAACATAAGACCCCTAGCCATTACTATCACCCATGCTGGACAGGTTTCAGCAATGCTTTCAGACTCACACAGACTAGGGAGAAGGAAGAGGCGGCCCGCTTCTGAGGGATTATCCTGATGAAAACTTTATGAATAGCAGTGGAACATTGTCTGATAGACTGTCTGAAGATGAACCCCAGGTTGGAAGGTTCTCAAAATATGACTGGATTGAACCAGTGGTGGCAGCAATGGCACAAAGATGACTGTCAGGAAAGTACACAGGTTGTTTGTGGCACACAGGGTTGCTGAGTCAGAACCTACCCCACGCCACCTAACATACATAATAGGAGCTGAGTCAGAACCTACCCCACCCCACCTAACATACATAATAGGAGCTGAGTCAGATGAGGGTTTGGGAGGGCCAGGCTGCAGGGTTGTTCCTTCAGAGCTTCTTGGGGCTGTGGGCAGATTGGTCCCTCCCCCAAGGTGGTGAAACAGGGAGACTTTGCATATATACACCCTAGTCAGGTCAGACCGACCTGAGCCGAGCTCTGCTAATTTCACCCCCTTCCCATCACTCTCTCCGATCTCTCACTCACACACACACAATTCCCCAGTCTCTCCGCTCGCAACACACTGAGGAATCAACATTTGGCAAAAAATAATTTAATATTCCACCCTGGGGTCTTGCTTACCCCTCCCCAAGGACCACCTCCCCATACCCTCCCAGTCTTCGCAGTCCGGCAGTGGAGATCCTCGCGGTCTGACAGCATTGTCTACAGTTACCCACCCTCGTTCTAGAGACGCCTGGGCCAATACGACCCCAACCTCTCTCAAGGGCCCCCATACCCTCCCCCCCCAAGACGGACATCGTTACCCTTTCCCGGATCCCCACCCTGGGGCCCGAGCAACCCAACAAGGGCAGCCCTGTGCTAGGCCTGGGGAGGGAATCCCACAGGGTCAGGGATCCGAGGCAAAAGCCGCTGAACAGATGGCGGACAACAGCACGTTCCCCGCGAGGGAGACAAATGGATGGGAAATGAGATTCCCATGTGCACAAATGTGGTTTACACACCCACCCAAATCAGGCAGCTCTTAAAAATCCAGCGTCCCAGCCCACCCTGCCCTGAAGGCAGGCTAAACCGGGAGTGTGACCTCAGAGAGGGCGGAACTTCCGGAGGGAGGAGCCTCCACGGGGCGGGGGCGGGGTCTCTAGGAGGGGGGCGGGCGCAGCCGCTCGAGCGCATCCGCGTACTGGAAGGAGGGCCCGCTCTCGTGCTCGTACATGTCCAGGGCCACCTCGCAGCTCTCTCGCACCACGCGCTCGGGGTCTTCGGCGTGAGCCCGCAGTGCCGTCAAGCAGGCGGGCTTGGCGATGGCACCCAGGGCCTCGGCGCACTCGTGCCGCACCATAGGGTTCTCGGCGTGGCGGGCCAGCGCGGCCGCCAGCTGGGGCACGGCTGCCTCGTGCTGCAGCTGGCCCAGGACGTAGCCCACTTCGTGGCGGAAGAGCGCGCTGCCGCAGCTCAGGCCTGCGGAAGGAAAACAAAAGGGGGTGCTGGAAGGCGAGGCCGGCTCTGGGACCCAGTCTGGGGCGGGTGCGCGGGGAGGGGCAGGAACAGGGGGTATGGAAAGGGCCTCCCTGTTCCGCAGCCTGGATGCTCAGGGCTGGACAGACGGCAAGACCCGCGGCTGCGGGAGAGTGGGGAAGAGTCAGGCCCCTATAGAGTGAGGTCTGCATGGATTTTTTTTAAAAGTCAAACAGGACTTTATGCATTGTGATTGGGAACCGAAGCCCCAATCAGAGGGCAAGAACTCTTCTCTATTCCCCCTTACCCTGCCAGGGCCCTGCGAATACAGACTACCCAAGGGGTGGTCCCTGTCCCTCCCCTCTCAAGCCCCCCTGCCCTTCATCAACCTGGGACCTTCTTCCTACACACTGCTTCACGTGCTCCCTAGACAGTGCCATCAAGTGCTATTTGTGGTCTGCGGTCCTGTCTCCATAGTCCATTTCTTTTCCCACGTCAATCAGGATCAATAACAGGCCTGCTCTCCAGGGCCTTTTCCAAAGTATAACGGGTGCCTAACCCCCTCCCGAGCTCCAGGAAGTGCTGGTTACTTTACAGACTGGGGAAACTTCCCCAATACCATAAACAGCAGATCACCAGTTTACGACACCACCCAAAGACAAACCCACACCTCAACCTGGCATGCTCTTGGTCCCTGGGTCCTGGGAGACTCACCCCCCTCCACACACACACACACACACACACACACACACACACACACACACATACAGGCTGGTGATGGCTGGCTATGTCCTCTGACAGATTGCAGACAGCTCCGTCCTTGTGAGCCTGCAAGTGATTCCTTCCCCCTGGGGCAGGGGCCACCATAATGTCCGGCACACCCTCCTTTCCTTCCCAGATGGGGCACCTCAGCCCCAGCAAGGCCCTGCATAGCTGGGATGAAACTAAAAATAACAGGGTGAGGGTACCCCAGCAGGCTGCCAGTCAAATCCCAACTCGGTCTCCCACTAGTAAGAAGGGAACAGGAGGGCACCACCAGCCTACAAGGATGTGCTGTGAGGTCGCAAGGACCACACGGGCTGCAGAACCCCTCCTTTATTTCAAAGAGGCGGCACTGGACCCTTCAGAGTGGCAACTGGCCTTGGGCCCCGTTACTGTCCCTCCACCGACCTGACCCAGGGCCCTCCTTACCCTCGGCAAGAGCCAGGGCGGCCTCCTCACCACCCGTGTTGCGCAGGGCGAACATGGCTCGATACCGGTCAAAGAGTGGCCGGGCCTCATCCAGCAGTGCTTCCCGAAGTCGCCCCACATCTCGCTCCTCTGCTGGTGGGGCTGGGTCCACCGAGAGGTATGGCCCCACTGCTAGCTCCCCACAGTGCTGCTGGAGCCACTCCAACCGCCGGACTGCCAGCTGACACGTCTCGGCCACCTGCAGGAAGGGGTGCAGGTATGTGGTTTAGTGGGGATGATGGGGGACCGACTGTGACAAATGGATGATTCCCGGGGGGTATGTATGAGTCAGGGAGAGCCTCAATGAGGAGATGGACCCTGGAACAAAGACCTGAACCAAGTAAGGAAAGAAGTGAGTTCCAGACAGAAGGAACTCACTAGTTCGTGCAAAGGCCGTGGGGCAGGACCCGTTCTGTGAGTCCAAGAAACACAATGAGGTCTGTATGGCCAGAGCAGACTGAGTGAGGGGGAGAGGGAGGAGAGGAGGGCAGAGAGCCTTGTGGGTTATCTGGGGAAAGGGAGTTCCAGGCACAAAGCACAGCTCGATCAAAGGCCCTGGGGCAGGCCTGGGCCTGTGAGTCAGCGAAGCGGTGAGATGTGTGGCTAGAACAAGACAGTGAGCAGCAGAGGGGATCTCAGGTGGTGGGGGCCTGATGATTCAGGGCCTGTGAGCTAAAGGGAGGACTCTGGGTTTTGTCCTGAAGGCACCTGTGTTCGGTGACAGTACAAAGTGACAGGTTGGTATCATCTGACCTGAGTCAACACAGATCTCTGACTGCCAAGAGAAGGGGAGACTGTGGGTGACCAGAGGATGTGGGCAAGAAAGGCAGACACGTTTCCAAACAGCCCCCATGTGGAAATAACCCAAGTGTCCAGTGGTTAAACAGACAAAACACAACATGGTGCATCCATGCAGAGAAAGAGAAATAAAGTCCTGATACATGCTATGCCACGGATGAACCGTGAAACCACTGTTGTGGGCCGTCCAGTCAGTTCTGACTCACAGAGACCCTATATGATGGAACAGAACTGCCACGTGGGTTTCCTAGGCTGAAATCTTCACAAGAACAGATGGTCTTTTATCCCACAGGGCCATTTGTGGGTTCGAACCAGCAACCTTGCGATTAGAAGACAAGCACTTAGCCACTGCACACCACGGCTCTTTCTGAAGACATATTACCACTCAAGTCAGTCAGACCCGGAAGGACACAGAGCGTGTCATTCCATGGATATGAAATGTCCAGAACAGGCCAATCTGGAGACAGAAAGTGGATCCAGGGTGCTTACCTAAGGACTGGGAGTCCTGGTGCGATGCTTGTGGGATCAGCACTGGACTGCTAACCACAAGGTCTGGAGTTCAAACACACCAGCTGCTTCTCAGAAACCCTATTCAGGGTTGCTGTGAGTCAAGATCAGTTGGACGGCACTTCACAATAGGGGTTGGAAGTGACTGGTGGTGGATGTGAGGTTTTCTTTTGGGGGGAGGGTTGTCAAATGGTCTGGAATTAGACAGTGGTGGTCACTGAACAGCTGTGTGGATAGACTATCAACCCCTGCATTGTACGTTTGAAATGGGAGAAGTGTATGGCAGGAGAGTGAAACCCCGATAAAGCTGGTGAAAAATAATGAAAGCAGCTTCACAGAGACCTCTGGAGGGGTCTGGTGCACCAACCAGCGGCAGCAGGGGCAGAGAAGGGGGGATGGGTTTAAGGAGGCAGGGAGGGATAGCCCATAGGTTCAGGCCCAGGATCCCCACCAGCTGAAGCACAGCAAATTCTGTAGGATTCAATGAATCTGATTTTGCCAAATGGGCTTCCTTCCTGCCCTCTAGACTTCCTTTATCCCTGGAGCATCCTTGGCCAGGTGGTCGCCATGGCAACCAGAGATAGGCTCTGAGACTCCTTTCGATCAGGGTTGGGCAGAGCTTTCCACGAACCAACCAAAACAGGTTGGGGTCAAAGCAGGAAACGGAAGAAGGGCCCGGGCTCAGGGTTCAGGGGCGTTACCTCAACCACAGGGTCGGTGGAGTACTGCTTCAGGATCTCTAGAACTTCCAGGTTTCCAATGGCCCCCAGTGCCTCCCCTGAAAAGGACCCACAAGAGAACTCATATTGGTTGGGATATGGGGAAGTCCACCCAGCCTAAGTCATCCCTTCTTGCTTCCCCACTTCCCACAGCACTGCCTGCATCCTGTGGTTCCCGCCCCTAGCCACAGGTGATTGGAGGAGCAGGCCCAGGCTCCACGCCGGGCCAATCAGAATCCTCCCTCCAGAACCTGGACTTGATTGAAGCTAGGAGAGGTTCCTAGGAGGCAGGATGGCAGCAGTGGTTAAGCCCTTGACTGCGGCACATCTAAAGGCCAGTGATTTGAACCCTCCAGTGGCTCTAAGAGGCAAAGATGTAGCATTCTGCTTCCATAAAGATTGACGGCCTTGGGAATCCTCTAGGGGTGGTTGGAGTCTGTCCAGGGGTGAGCCACTATGAGCCAAAAGTCAGCCTGAGGGCACCTGACAACTGGTTAGGCTCCCAGACTGTAGCAGGGAGTGAGCTTACGGTCTAAGAGGGAGAGACAGACAAGTCAGTCATTGTAATAGGAGACCAGTAGGCTGCATGCCTTGAGCCAGTCTGGGGCAGTTCCCTAGAACTGGAGGGATATAAAGCTAGGCACAATGATGAGACCTCCAGGGAAGGGAGCTAAAGGTATATCACTGCCCTGAGGCTGGGGTGGGAGTGGCAGGTGGGTGGGTTGTGTGGGCCTCAAGGTGAGGTCTGACCATTTTGCCATGGGCACACTCGGCCCAGGCCAGCCAGAGACCCAAGACGAGAAGTCAGTTCTGCTTCTGCTCTGCAAACATGGAATCCAGACAGTCCAAGAGAACCCAAATCAGTGGACCACTGTCCTGCAGCTTTCCCACCTCCCTCAAGGTAAAAGGCCAAGTCCTGCCAGGCCCCCTCCCTGTCCTTCCTGCCTCCTCTCTTCCCCTCCTCACTCCACTTCAGTCACACGGGCCTCCTCCCTGTTCCTCCAACTCTCCAGGCCCGGTCCTGCCCCAGGCGGTGACATCTGCCTAGAACACTGTTCCTTCCCATAGATAACTCTTAACTTCATTCAGGTCTCCATGCACTGATTAAAAACTGTCACGGCCCATCACCCCAGCCCGTTCCCTGCTTTATTTTCCTTCTTAGCACTGACAGAAGTTTTCCACTCCATAGCAAGATTTGTTGTTGTTGTTATGTGCCGTGGAGTCGGTTCTGACTCATAGCAACCCTGCACAAGGTTTCCGAGGCTGTAAATCTCTATGGGAGCAGAAAGCCTCCTCTTTCTCCCGCGGAACAGCTGGTAGTTTCGAACTGCTGACCCTGAGGATAGGAGTCTGATTCGTAACCACTACGCTACCAGAGCTCCTTATACCACAATTTAGCATTCTGCAAAATGACATGATGAAAATAGCAGACCTTACGGGGCACAGTGCGCTTTGCAAGTAAGGCTCTAAGAAACACAGTCATTGGAATCTGGAGAGCTACTAGGTTATCCGGGTACTGGGGGGGAGGGGGGCTGGAGAGGACGTAAGGGATTATTAAAAATCAAATGGAAATCAAAGCCAGGCTTCAGAGCTAAAAGCCACTCAGCTGGCGAGGTTGCCAATCAGATGGGCTTGGGGGGAGGGACAGCCTGTCACAGGAAGACAGTTGGGCAGTGTTGGGGGTCACTCTGAGGGGGATCCTGGGTATAGCTGCTCACCTTCCTTTTTCTTAAACAGAACTCGGAGCACCCATGTTTAAAAACAGGCAGGACAAAATTCAGGCGGAATTGAAACAAGAAACACAGGTAAGAAGTGTGCAATCAGTGAGATGAAACAAAGTACATGATTTGTTGAGTGTAAAAAGGATTATCTGCTCTGCAAACCTTCAGTCAATTCACAATGTTGTTGCTGTTAAATGCCAACAAGTTGGTGGTTCCAACTCACAGAGACCCTGTATAGGGTTTCCAAGGATTTGAACCACTGACCTTGTGGTTAGCACACCAGGATTCCAAATCACAGTGAAAAGTAAAAAAAAATGCAATTAAAAGAGGTTTAACTGGAAACATGGTCCTCAGTGAGAGGTGCCAGACACAAACCGACAGATAGTATCTGGTTCCACTGAGGGAAAACATCTAGAAGAGGCAGATGTGTGGAGACAAAAGGCAGGTCAGGGGCTACCAGGGGCTGGGGGAATGGAGAGTTGGGAGCTCTTGCATTACGGGTACTGTGTTTCTGTCTGGGATGATGACAATTTTTCAAAATGGATAGTGCGGTTAATTGCACAGCGTTGGTAAATGTCATGAATTGCACACTAAAAAAATTTTAAATGGCCAAACGTTTAGTTATACAGGTAGCCCCCAGCTAATGATGTGTTCGCATTACCACGGCTGTCAGTGTATCCAGAACACAGCATCTTCTGGGGAGGAAATTACAGGAAAATGCATGCAGGGGATAAGGCACAAATGCTGAGTTATGTGAACACGCTCCAAGCAGTTGGTCGGGATAATGTGATGTAAGAGATTGGTGCAAAAACCGTCCATCTGGTCGAACCACTACATTTAGAACTTGATACTGCTCATGTGGAACAGCGCATGGCTCTTGGCAAAGGGGAAGTGACAGAGAAGGACCTAGAAGGATCTTGAATAAGAGAGAAATGCTAAAGAAGAAAGACAGGATGAGGAAGAAAAGGAGAGGTGTCAAAACTTGGAGTTTTTCTAAACTAAATCAGAGGCTTCCATTGCTTTTAAAAACATGGACCCAAATGCTGATCACTTTGCTAACTAATTTAGATAAATGCTGATACAGGAAGTGGGAAGGTGTTACCAGGAAATAGATGAAGAAAAGCAGAAAAGGATTATAAA